AATACTTGACTACTTCATTCATCAGTTTCATTTTACTCTAGCTGTGTATTTCTGTCTGCGATGATTCTCTGTTGCTATCAAGAGAATCACCTGAGACGATGGTTCTCAGCAAGTATTTGTAATTTCTATTTAATCACTAAATTAAATGTGTGCCAATTAGCTTATCCTGTTGTATTTTTGGTTGATGTTCACAATCTGCAAGCTTAATGATTGTGAGGAATATTTTTAGAATATATTTACAGATTTTTTTGGCAAGCTTACCTCTTAGGTTTCTTTTTTTTCGTAGTTCTGAGTGCACTACTTCTCTACTGTAATGAGAAATAGACTTTTTAATATATATTTTATATATTTTCTTATATTAGATTTGTTACAGAAGTTAAAATGTGTTAGAACTGGTTTTCCTAAAAATATAGATGACGTCTTTTATGAAGTTACCTTTATAGGAACAGCTTTTTGGAGAGGAATTACCTTGAGGATTTGCATGTGTTTTCCTCTTCTGTTAGCGTGCATCATACTTGCCTGCATTTTTCCTGCAGTTCTAGATTGCAGCATTTTGAATACTTAGGCAGCATTGCAGGTGACTTACTTTTCCCTTTGTATCAAGTCTACTGTATTTGTAAGTTTTGGTCCCTTTTCCATATTTGTTTCTCTTCTGACTTGTACCAAGAGTTGCATCTGCTTCTAATGGTGGCCCTCAGGGGTTTAATTGGTTCTTTCTGAATCATCTTATATATATAAAAAATCTTTCAAAATATGTATAACCAGACTTACAAATGATGCAAAAGTAGTCAAGTGTCACAAGTTCTGTCCAGTGACATGTGTGTAAGCTGCAGCCTGACAGAGGTGTGAATTCACACCTGGGAGACATACTTCCCAGTGCTGGAGGATATTTAGTTATGATGTTCTTCAGTAAGAAATGTCTGTCCTGGATGTAGCAGGCATACTAAGAAGTGCTGCTTGTACATGCATATATCTATTTACATGTGCAATTTACAAAGTATTTTATGTGTGTACTTGACAATTTCCTCTTACTACTATTACTTTGAAGTTGTGCAAAGCATTTGTCCCAAAAAGTCTATTAGAAGAAGAAAATGAGTTTCTCAGATGGCTATAGAAATAGCTATTTCTGAATGAGCCTCCTCCTCTCACCCATAAAATCAGCACAAAATTAACCTAACTTTGCCGTATCAGATGAGCTGTCTGGAAAGTAATCCTCCGGGAAGAGAAAATTCAGTCTTTGTGAATCTGAAGATACAGTAAAGTCGCAGAATTGAATTATACTTTCTCTTTTTATTTCTAAGTCAGTTCCCTGTTGTTTCTTCCTTTCCAGTACTTGTGAGAAGTTGTCACAAAGATGTGTCTGATGCTGCCTGAGCCCAGTTCCAAAAGCAGAAACAAACAATGTTTTGAAAAAAGCGCAATCCCTGACTCCCATAATTATCATAAACACTCAAGGTTTTTTATAGGTGTTCGAGTTTAGTTTCAGAAAGTGAAGGCAGAATATAGAAACTTTTCTTTTTGAAGCACAAGTCACATCAGATTTTCTTACTTGATAAATATATGGCAAGTATCTACTAAAATAACCATTTAAGAGCCAGTTATGACAACTGCAAAACCCAGCTCAAAGCAGTTGGACAAGTCTTGGAGGTATATATATGTGTGTGTGTATATATATATATTTATTTTTAATAGAGCACTGAGTGGTTTTTTTTTTAATTGAGTTAGGAATTTTTAAAAAATGTTGGCTCTTTGTTGTTTTCACAGAGTATTAGAAGCATTATCCCTTGTCTTTAGATAACATGTAATTATCCTCTCATCAAATAAACAGCCTTTAATGATATGAAAATAAATACTGCTGTACCAGTAGTTCAATGAACTGGAATTTACTTGAGAGTTGTTTTTATTATTTCATATGAGACCAAAGTAGTATAAAAGAGCTATAATAACAGGAAGTGAGAATAGCAAACTGAGCAGGGCACTAAATTACAGCTGCAGGTTTTATATCTGTTAACCTGTCAGGGCACCAAAAGCAGTTACGGGAGCTGTGGATCTTGGTGCCCATAGTTAAAAGATGCTCCTGAGAAATGCTGTGCAGCTCCATTGGCATGTCACTGAGATGTGAAGTTATTGCCCATTTGCCCCCAAACCCCATCTTATCTAGAGCCAAATTTTGCTTAATTCCAAGGTTATTTGCTCCTGATTGTGACCTTTTAGGATTATTCTTGGTTGTTTTGCTATTGTGATCTGCTGCTTTTTTTTACAGCCTGGCAGTTACACTTCCTCTAAGAACAACAAAAGAAAGAAATTACATTTCTTTCCCATTTAGCAGTTTATACATTGAATATTTTACAAAGTATAAAAAAAAACCCTGTGATTTTGTTACTTTGTTGCTAGAGCATTCAATACACAATATGTATCTCATGTAACTGTATTCCACACCTGCCAAAAGAATCTGTCGGGTTTCCTCACTCTGAAGGGGGGTGAATTTGCCAAGAACGCTCCTCCCTGGCCGTGCTCCCTTAGCCTGCTTTCCTGCAGGGCATTCTAACAGACACTTAGTCAGACACTAACTCTCGGGTTTTGCAATAAAGGCAACCAGAAATGGTACATCAAGACTTGGGAAGGTCCGAACAAGAAATCGGTGATGAGAAATGAAACTAGATGCAGCTGGTAACTAGCTTCTATTTAATGAGGTCTAGCAAATGCTTGAGGCCGGTATGATGTTGGATCTGCTTATTTCTCACCACAAGTCCCCCTTCCCTGTTTTGTTTTTCCTTTTTCTGGCACAAAACCAAGAGTTTTGGGGAACTGATCTAGTTGATACTGACCTGAAAAATTCTAGACATTTGCTTGGATCTTGGTCATTTCGCTCATCTGGTTCTTTGTGTAGCTGTGGAAGAGGCTGCATCAGCAGGAGAGGTGGTGGTACAGGATCACCAACAAGTAGTGCAGTGGGATTGCTTATTTGCAGAGAAATTTATGCTTGAAATGCTTGTGGACATATGGCCTTAGATTTGCAAGCTCTTTTGTGATATTTTTTGGATTCTGCACAATTTCCGGTGTTTTTTAGCAAGTAGTTTATGATTTACTTAACACTGAGTATTTGATATGTGTTACCATGCTTGCTATACTTTGAATTTATCAGAGATCACTGTTAAAATACAATTACTTACTTTTTTGTGATACTTAATTGGAATAAAAATAAGAGATGCCTTATATTGTAGGCACCAAGGTAATAAAACTCTCCTTTTATCTGGTCATTACACAAGTGTGTTTGTGATTCGAAGATACACAAAATAGATGGGGAAAAAAGGTATCCATTTTAAGTAACTGTTTTCATTTACTCTCCTATTTTTATAAATATAGCATCTTACCTCTTCTTTCATGTTTGCCTCCAAAAGTTATTGCTCCCCACAGTAGGTGGAGGAAGATTCCTTGTGCAAAATACATATATTTTCATAAGTAATAGCTGTAGAACCTTCTTCAGATGTTTTTAGGAGCAAAGATGCTTGTCCAACAAGAAGAGTGAAAAGGCCATATTTTTGTCTAAAAGCTCCACTAGATTTGGATTAGATGAAAATTATGCCTAAACCACGTTGAGCTGATGGACAAGCTGAATTTTGTAACATGACTGAAATGTTTATTCCACTGTTGGTTTAACATCTGGCCTAGGATGAAGGAGGAACACTGGCTTCAGTCTCCAGCTCCTGAGCAGGCCAGTGGCAAAAGCAGGTGCAGCAGCAGCTGTATGTGCTGAAATCAGTAGCTGGGAATGAAAATACTTTCAGTGGCATTTCCCTGCCGTTAAAGCTTCAATTTGTGACACTACACATACATGGGTGTAGCAATAAGAGGAGATTTCTGTTTTTTCCAGACAGTGGTAGCGTTACAGACTGAATTGGAAATCTGAATAAATTTTCTAGATCTTGGCTCCTCAGAAGGTAGACATCCCAGCAGCCCTGGGGGTAGCCAAGAGGTTGCAGTTCTCATCAGACAGTGTCCCCTGGTGCTTACTGGTGGGTTTCTCCAGTCATTTGCTCTCTGGCACCCAGGGCTGTTGTTGGCCATGCTGTCAGCAGCAGGGTCTGCATGGCATTGGCCAGGGCACAAGCAGAAACTGGAGAGCTTTCCCTCTGGTCTGGGCTTTGGCACGAACCTGGGTCTCCCTTGCAGGAAGACGTGTGATTTCACTTTCAGCATATGGACAAATGCTGCTGCTAATCTGTTGTATAGAAGTGCTGTGAAGCTTCATGGGTGTCTGTGATACAGTTCAACAGTAGCACCTCAGGAAGTTTTTGTATCGCAGGAGATTAAAAGCTTTGAGGGGATGAAGAGTATAATTTGTTTTTTGTTGAAAGGTTATGGTTCAGGTCATTGTGATAGATGCCCTCAAAATAGTGTTAATAGGAGACTGATATATAGCCTAAATAGCAATGATGATTTTGATAATTAACAGTTTATTAAATTCTTAAGATATTATCGAGAAGCTGATTGTAAATGGCTCAGAACAGAAAATATTCAAATATGCTAGCTCTTCTAAGCTCTTCCTTGAGAGTGATGGTTACATTGGTACTATCTTTAAAATCACAAATGTTGCTTTTCTATATTTCATAGAGATACTTGTTTTCCCCTTATCATTTTAAATTTTTTTTTTTTTTTCCTGTGGATGGAAAGAAGTCTTATATAACTCTATTTCTTAATTTAATTGTGAACATTGAACATATGCTTTAAAAAATGATGAACTTAAAGGTTAAAAAGAGAGTTGAATATGAAAATAGTTTGGTATATTATAACCTGCTTTCATATGTAGAACAATAAACATAGTTTCATAAATATGAAATAAGTATTTTTAATAATCCAGTATTTTCCTTAGTTTTTAGATATATTTTTGCACTTGCCTCAAAGCTTGACGCTAAGCTGACCCTCTCTTTAATATTAATGTACTCTGTAATACTCTGTTCCTTTGCCTCTGATTAATGCTGTCTGTCAATTATTTACAGATCCAGTGGTACTGTGGAAGTTCCCGGAGGACTTTGGAGACCAGGTTGGAAACATGAGATTGAACTTTTTTTTATATGCTAGAATAATAATAAAAAAAGCTCTCCTATTCAGCTATGGAGAGGCAGATGCTAATAATAGTGGGGAGGAAGTCTTCACCTAACTGGTGGCTTGGTGATTAGAATGCCTTTGTGACAAGAATATGCAGTAGCAGTTGTAGAGGACTGTGCATTAAAGTAATTCTCTGTATCACCTTGGTTTTGATATGGAGTTAGGTTTTTATCTGTTGTAGGAATAAAACTGGACAATTTAGCAAAAAAACGTTGCCAAACATTGATGTTATAAATCATGTTAACAAAAAACATGAGAACAAAAACTTGAACAGCACATGTATGTCCTTTTAATGTCAGAACCTGAGTGTCTCATTCCTTTAATCCTCTACCATGTAAAATTTTATATATTTAATAACATTTTAAAGGTACCCAATTTAAATACTTGGAAAAAATATCCTCAGACCTTTGTAAGAAAGAATGATACAAACTTAAGAGATTTTGATGGACTCTTTCACTGTTTGTAGTGACAGCAAACCTCCTTATTAGTGGTTTGTGGTTTTGCTTATTTGTTTTCTTTCCCCTGCCCGCCCCACCCCGCCCCCTGCTACCCCCCACCTCCCCCCGGACTATTTTATTAAAGTTATTAACATTGAATGTAATGTAACTATTAAATTTTATGATTGCAGCAACTTTTTGATGTGTTTATTCTATGGAGATATTACTATTTTCATTTAAAAAAATAAAAACAATAAGTAGTATAAATATCTCTGACACAATGTCTTTGCTCTTCTTTATAGACTAATGCTGAGTCAAACATACTTTTCATTGGTAATACCAGTGCAATGGATGATCTGGAAATATTTTTGTACATTAGATCTTGATAAATTGTAGATTTTTAAAAAAATCAGTAATACAAGATTCTATAAAGACAACTATAAGGAGATTCATGATGAAAGGAATAAATATACAAACATAGAAGGTAGGATGTCTGATTAGGGAATAGCATCAGTCAGAAACATGAGCAGCTTCTAAGGTAGAGATAAATGGTGCATGAGCAAAGTGTGCTGTTACATGTTCTTAGTAGACATCCAGCAAGTTTTGATAATTTTCCTGGCTGCTGAATGATCATCTTCAATGTAATTTTTTTTTCTATTTTGTTTTGTAGATTTTCTTTTCTCTAAAAAAGACTATATCTTAAAATAGAAAAAAAAAAAAAGAAAAAGGGAAATTTTTGTGTGAAGGAAAATGAGGGCTGATTCAGCAAGTCAGAGGTTATTCAAAGAACAGCTGGTGTAGAAAAATGATTAGAAGATGAAGCCCACTAAAGACTGGAGGGGAATCATATGAAGATGCATCAGACATACCTAATCCACAAAAACTAAAGTAATCAGGCCACTATCTGCCTTTGGGCTCTGAAAAATCTATGTCTGCATGTTGTGTCACAGCAGTAGAGGGAATCTAGTGTTTCAGGTAAATCATTTATCTTTCTGGAAAACAGTATATTTTAATCCTCATCCTTGCAAGAGAAGTTTTCCTATTAGAACCACTGGATTTGAACAAAACATGTAGCAGCTTCTGTAGCAAACCCCTGAGCCAAGCAGTCAAGAGAAATCAGCAGAAGCCTTCTGTACACATATGTGTGTGCATCTTGAACTCAGTAGGTTTGGACTGGAGTTGTGAATAGCTACCACATTTAATTAAAAAAAAAAAAAAGGGAATCTCACTTAAACTGTCAGGGCTAATTTCAATAAAAGTTTGTGGGGAGAATATTAAAAAAGAAGATTCTCCATCCTATTTCCCAGTCATTTCTATTTTTAATGTGAAATGTGTGAGTTAGTTTTTGGATGTGTTCCAAAGAATCATTTTTCCTAAAATCTAAGGGCTGTCTGTTTGCACAGTGATGTGATAACAGTGGGCAAAATATTTTCCTCTCTTCCTGCATTTTTCTACAGTTTATCATGTCACCTTTTTGTTGCTCTCATAATGCAAAGAAAACTAGTGTAAGCTCTTTTGATATATTTCTCCTTTTTCTCACATTTGTCCTCTCAGTATGCCTGAGATTTCCAATGCTTACCCATAACTAATCCTCTCTTATTCTTGTAAGCTGCCATTTTCTTTTATGCTGGGCAGTATTCTTTTTTTGGTCTACTTTTTTCTTAAATGTTGACTTTCCAAAAGCTTTTCTACTGTTATACTCACAATTTTGCATTTGAATGAGGAACGGGTGCTTTCATGGCATTTTTTTTAAATTTTAAATGTATTTTGAATGTATATGCCTACAGGCTCTGTCTTTAGCATGCTCAAAACTCCCCTTGTGCTCAATGAAATTTTTATAATAAAAGATGCATATGTTTTTAGTCTTGAAATTAGTATATTGTTTATTCAGACTGTTTAGACTAGAGTTTGATTTCAGTCTTGCAAGTTCATTTTCAAATGAAAGTCTGTACAGAAAAAAAATAATGCTTTGATATCTAGGTAAAAAAAATGCAGTAGTTCTAAAAAATAATGGGTTTGAGTGCTTTAGAGAAGCAACCCAAATAAAAACATCAGATTTGCTTCCAAAATTAACTACTTCCTAACTGTTGGAAAGGATAATGTGTATCTCTGTAGCAATTACTGTCACCCAGCAGAATGGAGATCTGCCTATGCTGGCTGTCTCCTTATGGTAATGGGAGTCAGTGGAAAAGCCACTGATGTCAGATGTGTCCAGATGCCTCCAGTATGTCTCTGTTCAGAGCTGTACTGGAAATAAAAACTCAAGCTCCCAGTAACTTCATTGGGTTGAAACATTCCTAGGAATAGGAGTAATGCTGGCATGAGGAAGGATGAGAGCTCAGTGCCGATGGCAAAAGCAGGTGTTTGTGGTGCTGCCAGAGGCAGTGCTGCTTTTGTCTTAACTTTTGAAGCATGTGAAATGCAACATTTCTTACACAGTAATTACAACTATTTTGGATATTATTTTTAGCTGTTTGAGAATTCAGTTGTTGTTTTTTTTTAATTTGACTGTTTATTGGCCTGAGGTGATTTATATCTCCAAGAGGTCCTAGCACATAGGGTGTATAGAAAAACTGATCCATTGAATAGTTCTTATTCTTCCCCCTTCTAATCACATAATAGGTTCTTTCTGTAGTCTGCCACTTCTCTGCTGGTGTAAAACCTCTTGCCAGAAAGATTGATACAAATGTCAAATATGGCAAGGGTTGGCCTTACCAGAAGCCATTTTAGTAATATAGAATATGACAAGGTGTTGTTGACTGAAGATGTGGGTTAAGAAGTAATTGAGACTCTGCATTGGACTGTTAGCTGCATTGCAGAATTCATCCTGTCTGCTCTTGCTCTCTGCTCTAAGGCAAGCAGACTAAATCTACTTTTTAATGTCAGACTTTTCCCAAACCCTGCAGGTGAGTCACCAGTAAGGGATATGGCATCCCATGTGAGGAAGGTCTACTGTTTTCTATGAAGTTACTGTAGTATCCTTTTTGTTGTTATGCCGTATTTTAATATAATAACTTTTTTATTAACGTATCACATTATGCAGAAGTTGCCACTGAATTGTGAAAAATAAACGTTACTCCTTATCCTGTAGTGACCCAAGTATTAAAGCCTGCTATTTTACATGTAACTCTATTAGATTCCTGTGAAAATATTAGTATACGTAAAAATATATAGGCATGCATGCGTGTGTGTAAACAAGTTATTTTGAAGTACTAATATATTGGCCTTCCCTTGGCAAAGCACTAATTTCATGCTTTACTTTCAGTGTTTGTATGAACTATTGAAAGTTAAACCTGGTGTAAGTGAATGTCTGATTGGAGTCGAAGTGCTCAGTTTCTTGCAGGATGGAATATTGAATTGCATAGATTGTTGGAGCAATTATATAAATGAGGCCAATATGAAAGAGATTATTCTTTTTTTTTGAATATTTAAATAATCACACAGATTTTAGTTTTTAAAAAAACCAAATTCTCAAGATGCAAGCTAGATCTGTTGTCTGGGTCAAAATAATGTGTAGAAGCCAGTTGTGATGATTCCGTGTTCCTCTGTGCTCTCCTAAGAGAGCAGCAGAAACCCAGGAGCTACGAGACTGTTTACAGCCTTTTCAAGGCTGCAGGCATGCTGTTAGGGGATCCAGGCACCAGCTCTCTGTTTTTGATGGCTTTGTTCTTTTGTTCTGATGAGGCACTAAATACATGTTTCAAATGTTTATGCTAATTAGATAGGTGCTTGCTTTGGTGTTTTTTGTTTTTCTCAGTAAATCTTAAAAGGGGTTTTGGGATTTCGTTGCTTGTGTATTAATAAATTTGGTTAGTATTTGGGTACCTTAGTATAAGAAAGGAGGAATCCATATAATAAAATTCCTGTTTTTCAAAAGTATCTTTGTCTAAATGTTGCACATAATTATTTAGTTTAAGGATAGTTTGGAACTTGAATTCCTGTTTAACTTTGAGGAAAACAACCCAGCTGAGATGATGGCAAATTTGTGTTTAAAATGAATATTGTTTTTATTAAAGAGTACCCTCAGTGTAAGGCAGCAATACTTCCTGCCTATGCAAATTCCAGCTGATAGACACTCAGCAGAAAAACATTCAATAGTGTATTTATAATTACCAACTGCACTGTGTGAACAGAAAAGATCTGTCTGGTCCTGAGAAATATTCTGTGAATTAACTGCCCACCTAGACATGCTGGGAACACACAGGATCACCAAAACCGTTGCATCATTTGAGATGTAAATATTCCAAGATGCATTCTCTGTTATTTTTTTTTAATTCATCCCAACAGAGACAGAATATATCTTTATTTTGAGGCTTTTATTTTTAAATTGTAAAAGCCCAATACTGAAAAATTGGAACTTTCTTGAGATTTTAAGGACAGGTGGCAACATCAAGCATGCTTGTTTTCAGGATTGTGGAAGTTTTGTTTTATAGGGCTTTTAAGTTAAAAATGTTGAACTTAATCAGCATATGGTACAGGCTAGCCTCATCTCTACCAG